CAAATCTGTGTTGACACAGGGCAATTTCACAGAGCTATTTTCTGAAATCCCACTCTAGGAGACATTATTACTTTTTCTGGTCTAAACTATGGGCCAATCCTTCTTTTGCTTTTGTTCTTAGTTGAATTGCATCAGAACTGGGCCCTAAACAAAGAGGAACAAATGTCCACTAATTCTATAATATTCTACTTTAATGCAGGTGCTGGTTGTCTATCACATTTCTACACCACTCATCTCACCTAAGTGACTTTGGGCAGTTTATCTCTTTATGCTTATGTCAGGTTTCCTGGTTAAACCAGACAGGAAACACAATTAGATGAGGTAATTCTATTTTAATGTAAGATACATTGACAGAATTGTGCAAATCTGAAAGTACAAAACTTCCTGTTACTACTTTTAACTGCTTGATCCATTATGGAGGGTCCTTTCCAAGTTTCTTTTTCTGATTATTAAGCCATTGGGGTCTTCCTGCCTCTTTTATCTGATTGTTTCCTAAGAAACATCTCTTCCTCTCTTTCCCAAAGTCATTCCCACATTCCATTATAACTTATTAGAATGGGATAGGCTCCGCCACCATGACTCTTTCTAAATGTGCAACTATAAGAATATGGTCCATATGCTGTATTTTAATAAAATTATCACTTTAAAAAATCCATTCACTAGTGTAAAAACAGAACACATTTATGAATTAATACTTGAATGATAAGTAAACCTTGAGATCCAAAGACCTCAGTCACTGCTTACTTAATAGTTGCACAGATACTTTTTCCAGTCATAAAGCAGATGAGCAGAGTTAATGAGGAGGGAATCTCGACCTGCTTTCTCCCCACAAACCTAGATATGTAATTTTCTTTTTATGGGTATTTAAGGGGAGGGGGGGAAGCAGTACTCTGCTCACCAAACAATCTGATTCAGCAGGCTCCAAAAATAAATGTGGTAGCCATAAGTGTTCTACAAGCTACAGAAGGTGAGAGGGGGAGGTCATTGCAGCAAATCACTTATAATTTGTCAGAAAAAAATAATAGGATATGTAACATTTTCCAAATTTAAAACATTTCAAGGGTCAGGCAACTGGAGGAAGGCAAATATTGCCTGACCCTTGATCAGTTCTCAACAATTTCTCAAAGATAATACAAGTGAAATATAAATTGAATTAATGAATAAATGAATGAATAAATGAAAATAAAAAGGTAGATCATTAGCTGGTTCCTTACCGTTAAGTCAATTCCTCTGAAGATTTAGATATTCCCCAATTATATTTCAGGTAGTCCCAAACTCTAGTTCTGGTCCTTAATTTTGCTCTTCACAATTACCTATGCAGGGGTAGGCAACCTTGGCTCTTTTATGACTCATGGACTTCAACTCCCAGAACTCCTGAGCCAGAGTTGAAGTCCACGAGTCATAAAAGAGCCAAGGTTGCCTACCCCTGCACTAGTGAAACACATACCCTCTTATTGGAGAAAACAGAATCAAAACAAGAGCTCTGGCTTTCTTTGTTCCCTGTTAACATTTTTATGTCTTCACTGAGTTGTTGGTTTATTGATTCTTTTCTCTTCTTTTTATTTTGGATAGTTGAGTGCAAACTTTTCTAATTCAAGATCGGGATTGGTTATTCCAAACTCAAAATATTTATTGGAGTCATTTCAAGCTCAGAACATTTCCAGGAAGGTTGGAAGGCTTCCTGTCAGGACAGAACAGCCCATTTTAAACTTGAAACAACTTTTAAGCTCAAAAGCTTTCACACTTATAATGGTTTAAACAACTCTAATATTAAAAACCTCTATAAAAGCCTTTTTATTGTTTTTAGTATCCTTTGTCAACTTTAGCTCATTCTCACATTTCTTATACCATTTCTATAGTTCTCATCCATCAGTTTGCATGCAGTATCCTTAGGGTCAATTCCCACATACCTGGACAAGTTCAAGAATAACAGAATAACACAGTTGAAAAGGACTTGGAGGTCATCTAGTCCAACCCCCTGCTCAGGCAGGAAACCCATACCATTTCGGACAAATGGCTGTCCAGTCTCTTCTTAAAAACTTCCAGAGTTGGAGCATTCACGACTTCTGGAGGCAGGTTGTTCCACTGATTAATTGCTCTAACTGTCAGGAAGTTTCTCCTTAGTTCTAGGTTGCTTCTCTCTTTGGTAAGTTTCCATCCATTGCTTCTTGTCCTGCCTTCAGGTACTTTGGAGAATAGCTTGACTCCCTCTTCTTTGTGGCAACCCCTGAGATATTGTTCCAATATCTCAGAGATATTGGACTTGACAGAAGCAAAAAGAGGGAAGAAACTAGAGGCATGCCTTTGTTGGAACAGACAACTTGGTGCAACCAACTTGCCGCAGCCACCTCGCCATAGGACAACTCATTGTGGCCAAGTCCCTGCAGGACAACTTGCTGTGGGACAATTCAATAATTCAATTTAAATAATTTTAATTTTTGTCATTCACATTACATTTTGTCCCTCCTTTGCATCCTTTCTTTAATTATTCTATTCCACCATTTCTTCGACAGTAGGGTAACTCTTTTCCCGTGGCAAGTTGTAGTGTGGTGAGTTGGCCATGTTATGTTGTCTCGCAGCAAGCTGGCCATAGTTAAGTTGGCTGTGGCGAGTTAGCCGCACTGAGCTGTCCTAGACCTTGCCTTTGTGGACAGCAGGGTAAATATGGTGAATTTATTGAGCAAGGTTCTCTGTCAACTCCAGTTTTATCCTTCAAACAGGTACCATTGTCCTTGAGGGAGCAGTTACATGAATTGGGGGTCCTCCTGGAGTGCAAGCAATTGCCAGATCTAGCTTTGGCTGATACATCAGTTGTGGCCCTGCTTGGAGCAAGAGGATTTTGCAACATTAACAGTAATGTTCCATAACTAGACTCTACCACTCAGAAATTGCACTTCATCCAAAACAGAGCAGCCCATATAATAATGGGTGCTGGACATATGAATACATCACTCTGTGTTAGGGGCCTTTCACTGGTTGTCAATAGGTTTCTAGGTGCAATTTAAAGTATTGATTTTAATTTATAAAGCCTTATATGGTTTGATGCTGAGGCACCTTCAGGGCTACTTTTTTGAACTAGAAGAACCCACCAAACTAAAGACAACTCAGAAAATATTAGTAGTGTTTCCCCGTGTTTATGAAACGGGTGGTGGGCTGAGGCCAGGAGAAGCTGTTTCTCAGTACAATAATATATTTTTATTTATTTGTTCAATTTCTATGGCTGCCCATCTCAGTCAATAACTCTGGGCAGCTATTGTAATGTAATGATCTTACATTATGGAATAGCTTCACCCAAGAAACTAGGCAGGCCTTGAGGTTATTGCTTTTCTGGAAACAAGATAAAACAAAACTCTTCTGAAAGTCTTTTTAAATTTGATGTAGCGGGAGAACACATGTGTGTTTATATTGCTCTAAATTGCTGTTTTTAATTTTAATTGTATTGTACTTTTATTTGGTATTTTTATGATTAGACATTTTGTAATTATTTTCATCCCCTGCCAAGAGTGGCATGATTGCAGCCATTTAGAAACTAATAAACAAATGAACAAACAATGGAAAAACCAAGAACCAAGAAGAGGGTTTACAGAAAAAAAAAACAGCAACAAGTGAGAAGAGAATTGGGAAATGGCGAATCAGTGGGTTTTATTGCAAGTCCCACCCTTAAAATTCACAGCAGAGCATTCTTTCCTAAAAAACAGTGGGCTTTCCTCTTGTATATTATAACTGTAATAATAGATGTATCAAAAGTGGTTTTTATTTTGAAAAAGCAACTGGGCTGATTTTTTTGAATTAAAAACAACACATTTTGCTTCCTATTATGGAATCTTCATCAGTTGTATTAGATGCTGGGGGAGATAGAAGGACAGGTATTGACAGTTGAGATTAGTTGCAAAAACCCCACAATCTTTCCATTCCCCCCCCCACACACACACACACACCATCCTGTCAGAACCTATCATTCCCCATCCCACCATGTAATCTCAACTATCAGTACTTGTCCTTCCATCTTCCACAGCATCCAATACAACTGATGAAGCTTCCAGGAAGCGAAATGTCTTGTTTTTTTGTCAAAAAAATCAGTCCAGTAAAAATAAAAAACATTTTTGATACAGCTATGACCTGGATAACTGAGAATCTTCATAAATATTTGTAATAATGGATGTACATATTAAGAAAATACAAAACTAGATTTATAGAATACAGAAATGTAAAAATATATTCCATAGTTACTATAGGTCACTGCCTGGTCAGGGTGTTTTGTAGCATACATCTATTATTTGTTTGACCACATGTGAGTTACTAGGAGCCATCCTGTAACATGTTTGGTTATATAACAGAGACTAACATGGTGGAAATGTATATAGAACATGAGATGCATAGTGCTTCTGTCTATTGCCATGAGAATTACAATAAAGATAGTCCAATTTCAATGCCATGTACTGAAATTTCTTAATTAGTTGTAGACTGAAAACAATGCATGTTGGGACAAAAAAAACCCTGTTATCTATCTAAATAGCACATAAGGATATATTGTTTAAAAATAATGTGACTTGCAAGCCATAAAAACACACATTTATGAAATCCTCCGAAAATTAAGAATGCTTAAGGGTAAATACAGATGGAACTTTGATAGGATCACAGTCCAGTATTTCTAATCTAAACCAGTAAATCCTCCCATTTCTAACTATAGCATATTCCTGTCTCCCATGCTCCACAGAACAAGGGTGTCAAACTCACAACATCACGTGATGTGTTGCGACATATCGTGACTTTTTTGCCACTGCCGGCAATGGGGTGGGCGCGGTTTTGCTATGATGCATCCGGCCTGTGGGCTGGCAGTTTGAAGGTGGACCTATGTCCACAGCCTCCATGCTGAGATTCATGCTGACTAGTGTTGTGAGAATCCAAGTCCAACACAACTAGAGGACACCAAATGGGAGAAGGCTGGATGATATACTCACAGCTTCATAGAGACACCCTCTTGATGGGCAGAGTCTTACCTTCCTCACAGTTGCTTCCAGTGAAACCAGGGCAGCATCGCCATTCAAGAGCAGTTACTGTTCGGTAAGCTATCTTGTACGTGGGTCGGATGAGGGTCCTGTAACTAACACAAGCAACACATCATCCAGAATGTTCAGCCCAAATCTGCCAACATCAGTAGCTGTTCATAGGAACAAGGTCAAATACAGGTAGTCCTCGATTTACGACCACAATTGAGTCCAAAATTTCCATTGCTGAGTAAGGCAGTTGCTAAGTGAGTTTTGCCCCATTTTACAACCTTTCCCCCAGTTGTTAAATGAATCACTGCAGTTATAAAGTTAGTAACGCTTTTGTGAAGTGAATCTGCCTTCCACATTGACTTTGCTTGTCAGAAAGTAGCAAAAGGGGATCACATGACCCCGGGACAGTGCAACTATCATAAATACATGTCAGACGCTAAATGTCTGAATTTTGATCACGTGACCATGGTGATGCTGCAACCATTGTGTGAAAAACGATCACAGGTCAATTTTTTCAGTGCTGTTGTAACTTTGAATGGTCACTAAACGAATGGCTGTAAGTCAAGGACTACCTGTACAGTTTTAAGCAACCCAGTTCAATATACTTCTACTCAGGTAGAGCTCAATGGGATTATTTCCAGGTAAGTGGCTAAAAAAAATTGCACTCTATATTTAAAAGTTCTTTATTTATCCATCTTCTTTATTTGCCTTCTTGGGAGATAACCCATTGGAACTTATTTCTGAAGAGGCATGTATACAATTACCTTAATGGACAATAAAATCTTATATCAGATTTTTACAATTTATAGGAATTGTGTGATAAATTGAATAGGTTTCAATTACAGGTAGTCCTTGACTTAACAATAGTTAATTTAATGACTGTTCTAAATTACAACAGTACTGAAAAAAGTGACTTATGACCATTTTCACACTTACGACTACTGCAACATCCCCATGGTCACGTGATCAAAATTCAGACACTTGGCAACCGAATTATGATGGCTGCAGTGTTCCAAGGTCACGTGATCACCTTGTGCTATCTTCTGACAAGCAAAGCCAATGGGGAAGCCAGATTCACTTAACAACCATGTTACTAACTGAAGAAGTTCAGTGATTCACTTAACTATTGTAGAAAGAAATGGGATAAAACTCACATAACAACTGTTTTGCTTAGCAACATAAATTTTCTGCTCAATTGTGGTCATAAGAAAGGACTACCTGTATGGAATCTTATTCACAAATACTGCATGAAGTTAAAGATTGATTGCTAAATGCAGTGATATCTGATGGAAATATTTATTTATTATTCTTTCAATTTCTATAGCCATCTTATTTTGAAGGAAATTCTGATACGTTCTATTTGAAGTGTGTGACTTTAAGAAGGTTTATTCTTTTATAGAAATAAGACTGGAAGCAGACAAAGGAAATAGTCGGGGACCCAAGGACATACAACTTGGATCAAGTCAAAGTCTTGACACAGAGGAACCACATGATCTGTATATTTTCTTTGTTTTTAAAACATTTGCTCTTCAATGTTCAGCGTTTGTGCAAAAATGTGAATTATACACATAACCCACCTTTTACAAAGACTGAGATCAATTTTGGATCTACACTGCAAGATAACAGCCTAGTGTTGGTCTTTCCATCTGCTAGATTGGGCCAGACAGAATTTACATATTCCTCTATTAAAACAGGAGAATCAGAAGTATATACATACATTGCTCTTTTTACTAGGGGTAGCCATTTTGTGACCTACAGTTCAATCTGGTCTCTGAATTTGGTTTCTTTTTTAGCTAAATTGGTCTCATTATAGGACTCAGATTGTTGAGGGCAATATGCTGACTCTGTAAACCGCTTTTAGAGAGTGCTGTAAAGCACTATGAAGCAGTATGTAAGTCTAAGTGCTATTGCTGTTGCTACTGCTATGAAAATGTTCTGCAGAGTAGCAATGACACAAAAAATGGAGAAGGGGATAGACAAAATATTTTGATATAAAAACTTAGAAATAATTGCTATAATTCAAAAAATGCTAAATATCTCATTTAAAGCAGAAGAGTTTGAGCAGGTGATCTGTGGATTTACATGCTAGTTCTAAGTACAGGTAAGCCACGAGCCAGCTCCTCTTGTTTTTTTTTCTTAATTCCATAAATATATTATACCAACAAAGCAATTCTATGCATTGGTGAGAATTTTCCAAACACAGAGTCTACAGATCAAGATGTTCTCTATACAATAGGGTTTTGTATGTGGTTTGTTTTAATGAAAGAAAGAAAGAAAGAAAGAAAGAAAGAAAGAAAGAAAGAAAGAAAGAAAGAAAGAAGGAAGGAAGGAAGGAAGGAAAAAAGAAAGAAAGAAAGAAAGAAAGAAAGAAAGAAAGAAAGAAAGAAAGAAAGAAAGAAAGTTACTTGTATATACTTGTATCTGTGTATGTATGTATAAATGTATGTTATGTATATTATGTATGTGAGGGAAAAGAGAAAGGGAAACAGAGAAATAAGATCCTATCTTAGAAGCAAAATAGTTCTTCCATTGTTAACTCTGGCTTCACTCATTATTGACAAATTCCTCAAGCAAATATAGTTCTCATACTGTACCACCACCACTACGACACATATTAAAGTTTCTGTTACACACAGAAGTTTTTTCAAGCTTTACTCAAATGATAAATTTGGGGACTAATTGAAATTTAAGCATATATCAAGAACTTTCTTACTTCCTTTGCTATTTCAATGTAGAGGAATTAGGGCTTCTGTTTTATGTTTGCAGTGAGCCCCATCCTCAGCAGAAAGATGAAACTCCACGCCTACAATTTCAAATTGTGGCGATATTGCACATTGACTATTGTACTAGCAAAATGTTGCCAAGGAAAACGTGGATCCAAATATGTCTGGCCTACATATGCTAGCTCAGAAAGTTGGAAATTGCAGTCTGACACATATGGAGGATATCAAATTGGAAAGGCTAGAGTGAGTGTTACATTGGGTAACCATAACAAAATGTATCTGGCACAGCTCATACAGTATTTCCTAAGCAATGAGAGCAGCATTATATTCTTCTTAAGCTTCTCAAAATATACTTTTTAAGCATGTGTAAAAATTACATCTCAATATGTGAGGGGCTTAATGGATAACCCAAATGGGCCATTAGAGATAAAATGTAAGAGAAGAAGAGGGCTGCTGAGACAATACATCAAACCAGAGTTCTTATCTAGTAGCACCTGTGCTGTTTCCTACAGCATCAACTGCTCATCTTCCTGAGCAGTCACTCTGGAGAAGGCCTATCTACATTGCTACCAAGAGTCAATACCAATTTAATTGGCAGGAGTCAGATATGATGGCAGTTGCATATAAGCATTTAGAATTAGGCATGATGAAAGATGCATATGAGCATATGAAAAACAGCAATACAAGTAGTCCTCAGCTTATGACAGGGCAAGCTCCATTACGGTCATAAGTTGTGGTAGCCATTAAGTGAGGTGTCCACATGATATAATAATAATAATAATAACAACAACAACAATAATAATAATAATGGGACCTTGGAGGTCATCTAGTCCAACCCCCTGCTCAGGCAGGAAACCCTATACCATTTCAGACAAATGGCTGTCCAGTCTCTTCTTAAAAACTTCCAGTGTTGGAGCATTCACAGCTTCTGGAGACCTCACTTAATGATCAAAATTCCTGCTCTCCCTGTTGCAGTTATTAAGTGACCAAATAGATCAGGGGACCCCAACCCCTGGTCCATGGACCAGTACCGGGCCGCGACATGCCAGCAACTGGTCCGCACAAACAAGCAAAGCCCCATCTGTGGGATACAGGCAGCACATAAAACCACGCCCCCTCTGGTCCGTGGAAAAATCTCTCTCCACGGAATCGGTCCCTGGTGCCCAAAACCTCTGAAATAGATTGTCAACGCTGCTAATATCGGATGTTATTGCTTTGACAACAGATGGAAATGCAGCCGTTTTACTCTTTTGATTTTAGAGTTAAGTTGATGCTGGGAGGGGGAATGTGGACGAGAGTCCAGTTAGTCATAACAATAATAACTCAGCCTTGGGAATTCAAGGTTATTGCACCCAGAATTGATAAAGATTTGGCAGGCTGGAGAGCTGGAGAGAAAGCTGGTGCTTCAAGCTAATTGGGGAATGAGATTTATGACTGTTAATTGGAGGAAGGAATTGTGCTTTGTTACTTTGTGCTCAAGGGAGGGGAATTCAGTTTTTGGCTTTAACTATGTAGTGCTGATACTTTGTTTCTCGAATAAAAAATTCTTTAAGGTAAACAATGCCTCAAAGTTCTTTTGAAGAGTTTCACCTGTCGGAACCATGACATAGATCATTAAGCAGAGTGTAGGGTACCTTGAGTGAGAAAGACCCTGGAAAGCCTAGCATAGGCCCAGGCCCACATTGCATATGTCTGTCCCAGGCCTCGCAGGGCCCCTCCAAATTCCCTGAGGCAACACATGCTACTTTTCCTGCCACATGGGTACCCCAGGATTTGGACCTGCTTCCCAGCCCTGCTGGGTCCTACACCCTCCTCCTCACTTGTCACAACTCGATCTACTTACCTTTTCCATAGATCTTTCTAGAAGCAGCTGATCTACCACGTGGCTTTCCTACATGGAAGCTGCATGGCACCAGCCTGGAGGCGGACCCCATTTTGGCAGCAGCGACAATTCATTGTGGCTACTCCAAAATGGAGCCAGCTTCTAGGACAATACCATGTGACCTCCATACTGTATAAGGAGGCTGATGGGTAAATTGGCCGTTCTCCTTCCCAAAGGTGATCTCCCTGCAGCTTCCATAACTTTGGGCAGGGGTTATAAATCCCTTCATTCATCACCACAGGAATTCCAAACAGTAACTAAATGAATGGTTGTACGTCGAGGACTACCTATTTCAAGTTCAGCACCTGAATGAAGCACCCTGGGCCCTTTTGGTTAGACTAAAATAGAATCATCTCCATGGTTTTCTTAGGGTGATGCTCTCAAATGGACTTTCCCTGCATTCTACTTTTTCAGAAAACTACTGATACTCAGGGCTGTTTCTGAGCTCCTCTACTCAGGATAAATTACCAAAAGGCATGTGCATCATCAGATTAGAAGCCTAGCTTGCATTATCAACAGTACATAGCCACAATATGTCACAATTACATAAATCATGCAAAAAACCTGTGGCAACATGTATTATAATTTTTCACAGAATAAAAAACATTTGCCAAATTTCCTAATATGTAAGATTGGCTCTTTCTTTTTGCTGCAAGAGAATGAAACAACTAACTCTCTGGAAACAGTTAAAAAAACCAGTATGTGCATATTTAATCTTTAGCCATATAACTGCATTAAGATTACAACCTAATCTCCTTTTTTGCTATTTTTTTTCATTTATTTATTTATTTTATTTTATTTTCAAATATTTATATGCCGCCCAATCCCAAAGGACTCAGGAGCATATACAGCTGTCAGTAGGGATGTTTTTTCATTTATCCAAAAAGAACAGCAATTTTTTCTGGCCGTGAACATTTTCTGGTACACCGTCCCAATTTAGGACACTTCCAAGGCCACTCATCAGAATGATGACATTTCATCAGAACTCAGCACCTTTTTTATTTTGATATGGCATAACTATTAGTTGTACCACCTCAAACTACAAAAGAGAACTCAAGTGGACTTTCTCTCATAGACAAGATAAACAAGCCATTGAAGGGAAACATTCAAAAAAGTATTTCCTGAGAAAGAGGCAAATGTGAGAAAGAACCTCAAAATAACCCTAACTTGAATTTGTTTGGTATAAGACAGTGGTGGTGAGCCTATGGCACGGGTGCAAGAGGTGGCACTCGGAGCCCTCTCTGTGGGCACACGTGCCGTTGCCCCAGCCTCGCCTCCCCCCCGCAACCCCCTCCTCTCCAGCAGCCCCCGTGAAGGAGAGTCGCTCCTGAGCGTGGCCCACACGAAGCAGCGCAGCCAAGGACATGGCAGCCAGGCAGCATAGACAAGACTCTGGCCTCACACCTCATCGTGTAGAGTTGATGCTGCAGGGTGTTGGCAGAGGGCATGGCCGCCATAGCGTTGCTGGGCTGCCTGAGCGATCTGCAGTGAGCCCTGGAGGCAGTGAGTGGCCCTGCGGGTAGGCGGGGCAGGGGATGGGAGGTGGAGCAGGGGCGGGACAGAGGATGAAGCGGGGGCGGGGCCAATTTTTGGGCACTCGGTCTCTAAAAGTTTCGCCATCACTGGTATAAGATGAGGAAGAGAGAAACATTGATAGGCATTGTAAATTGTGTTATTCTGCCCTATAATCATAAAGAGCATTCCTAGAAACTTTGCCGTTCCTGTTTCTTGCCTTCATCTTCTGAAATAATAAGGTTCTCCAAAGACTGGAGCAACCATACAAGAAGTTGTACACTCATATTGCTCCATTCTCTGGGAAGTCTACCAGAAAAATTGGGGGAGGGGAGAGCTCATGATCAGTTCCTGAATATCATTATGCAGTGGGAATTGTTTCTGTCAGGCCAAACAGTGGAATTGCCTACAGATTGGTCCAAGGCAGCCTCTGTTCCTAGCCTGCTAAAAGAAAGGGCAGTCAAATGGCATATGCCATTCATTGAGGGCAATGATGCGTTGTTAGGTGATTACCACAACTTCATGCAAAGATTTAGAGCTGCTTTTCTCAGCCAGGAGAACTACAGAAAATTGAACCACAAACTGAAGCATGGAAATTGCCAAATTTGGGAGTATGGGTAATCTTCAACTTATGACTGTGTTTGAACCCAGAATTATGGTTGTAAGTTGCTGTGGTCATACACTGAGGCTGTAGGAGATGACCTTGTCAGAGGCATCATGTGACCAGGAACTCATGCTCACACACAGCTCCACTTCTGTGAGCAGCAGGCGCTTGCACGCAAAGCTCTATTTGCATAAGTAGCGGGCACTTGTGCAAATGGACCTATTCAATATACTATTCAGACTGACCAGATAATAACCCAAGAATTTCTCCCTTTTTTCAGGTAGACCACAATTCACATTTTTACAGATGACTCTGAACAGAAGTATAGATGATGTCAAAGAATGATACAGTTTCCAAACAACGGTACAAATTTAATTCAACAGATCATTCAAATGTTCTTGGATTGAGGTTTGCCAACTTTTGGCATATGTCAACACAGTAGAGTATTTATTCATCACTGTTTCTCTGTGGCTTGGATCAATAAAGGTCAAAAACACAGTCCATTACCTCACTAAGTTGGCACAAGGTCCTGGCCATCGGCAGCTCTGATAAACCCTTTGGATTACTGTCTCCGAGCCATTCTGCACTTGACAGGAAACCATCCGCGTGACTGTGTAGTGGCACCAATGCCTGAGAAATAGAACAGGAAACAAACTCTGTTATTCAAGTTTAATTACTTGTTTTAGCTTAGTTTACTACAAATTCCAAAGACAAGTCAACAAATTCCAAAGACAAGTACAAATTAACAGATAAAGACTGAATGCATGCCCGGGGTCCCAGGCTTGAGCACAAAGTCAGGTTTACAAGTCCTTACTAAAGGCTAACAGGAATGGGGCCAATATAATCTTGGGGATGGGAGGTGATGGTAATGATATTCCAAGGGGCATGGGTGCCATTGCAGAAAAAGCTGACTTCTGGGCCCTACCAGCCAACACTTCCTAGTGGATATTACCCAGAGCATGCCCTTCCTACCAGATTAGATAGGATAGAGAGAAATGTTCCCATAAGTGACTCAATCCTAAACTATGAAAGACTTTAAAGGCTGCACCCAGAAAAAAATGTGGGCACCAGTATACCCAAGCCACCACATTTTGCATCAGTTAAAACTTCAGAACACTCTTCAAGGGAAATCCCATGTAAAGCACATTGCAGCAGTCTTATCTAGAGGTCGCAAGCACATGAATGGCTGTAAATAGGGCTCTGTGATCCAGGAATGGGTGAACTGGCACAAAGCTCAAAGTTCTGCAAAGGACCTCCTGGTCATGGCTACCATCTGAGTTCAGGAGGACCCCCCAGATTGAGCACCATGTCTGTCTGGGGCAGTTCTACCCCATCCAGAACCAAAGATGAAAGGTCCCTGAAACCAGAAGTTCCGAAAGCCCAGAGCTATTCAGTCTTGCTTGGGTTGAGCTGAAGCTTGTTATACCCTATCTAGGCCCCCACAGGCTCCAGGCTCTGAACCTCAATAGTATTACTCAGGCAGCACGGGTAGAGATATAACCCCAAACTTTGAATGACCTCAGCCAGCAGCTTCATGCAGATATTAAACAGGGGATAAAGTACCAAGATCCCTGAGGCAGCCCACAAAAGAGGGGCTGCCAGCGGGATCTCTCCACCATCAACACCTGCTGGGACCAATTCCAAAAGAAGAAGGAGAATCAACACAACACCTCGCTACCCACTCCCACTCCTAGTGCTGGTCCAGAAGAATATCATGATCAACAGTATCAATGGTGAGAGATCAAGAAGAGCAAGGAGGGACACACTAACCCCCATCCTGCTGCCAAAGGTCATCCAAAAGCATGATCAATGCCATCTTAGTCCCATACCTAAGCTTAAACTGTCATTGAAAAAGGTTCCGATAACCCACTTCCTCCTCTGAAGCTGCAATGCATCTATCTTTTCTAAAACATTTCCTAGAAAGGGGAAAGCAGGAACTGGATGAAAATTGTACAAAATGGTGGAGTCTAGCTCCTTGAGGAGGGAGCAAACCACTGCCTTCTTAAGAGACAGAACTACCCCCTCCCTCAAAGAGCAATTAACCATCACCAGAACCTAATCACATGTCCCTTCCTAAGAAGCCTCAGTCAACCAGGAGGACATGGATATAATTCAGAAGTGCCTGCACAAATAGCCCCAAGGACAAAGTTCCTTTTCTCAGTCCCAATGGGATCAAAGATAGCCAAGCTAGAACCAGCCAAAGTAACCTTCACAGGATCTGCTTCAAGGCCAGAGACCAACTCAGAGCAGATCCAATCAACTTTGTCCATTAGCCTAGCATACTCTTCACAGAGTCCTGTGGGTGAACCTTAGAATCACATCCACCCAGAAGGCATGAGGTCACCCAAACCAGGCCACTGGACAGCTATCCACAGATGTAATAAGGGCAGAAAAATATTGACATTTCTCTGTCCTTATTACCACACAATAGGCCCTAAGAGCAGCTCTAATTCATGTTCAATCAATTCACTCTGTGTCACCTCCAGAAGTGTTCTAGGATCTCTTCTTCAGCTTCAATTCCTTACCTCCTCCATATACCAAGGGGAGGAGAGGCCACTCAGGAAGATGCATTATCTGTCAATCAATCAATCACTGGCTATCAGCCTTAAGACTGAAATTAAATTCTTATGTGCATGGAAGTTAATAGTTCTGAAAGCACTTTGTCCTTCACATTCTGCCTATGAAATTCCTAGAAGCACAAACATCAAACTTTGTCTTCCACCTAGTTAGACTTTATCTTAGCCACCACAAAATCAACATGAACTTGACATTAACCCTCCACGCTTTGAGGCAGCAATTTTTACCAGCAAATCTGGAGATGCCAGGGATTGAAGCAGAAATGTTAACCATGAAAAATAAATGCTCCTCTCTGCCCATGTAAGAAGTGGAATGTTAAACATGGGTACTCCTCAATCTAGGGGGATTCTCAATCATCCAGGTCATTCATTCATTCATTCATTTATTTATTCATTCATTTATTTATTTATTTATTTATTTATTTATTTATTTATGAGACTTATATACCGCTTTAAGTGCAAGCACTCTCTAAGCGGTGTACACCAGTAAGCAATGTATATATATATTTACATTGCCCCCAACAATCTGGGTCCTCATTTTACCTACCTCGGAAGGATGGAAGGCTGAGTCAACCTTGAGCCGGTGAGATTTGAACCGCTGACCTGCTGAACACAGTCAGCTAAAGTGGCCTGCAGTACTACACTCTAACTGCTGCGCCACCTCGGCTCTGGTTATCCCAAGGATGCTTTTCCAAAAGGCAACTGGACTTTCTTGATTTTTTTCCTTGAAAATGTTTTGCTTCTCATCCAAGAAATTTCTTCAGAACTTGGAGGAGAAGCAAAACATTTTCACGGGGAAAAGCACCTTTGGGGTCTCAATTTATAACCATTCACTTAGCAACCATTCAAAGCTACTGAAAAAAGTGACTCATGACCTGCGCTCACATTTACAACTGTTGCAATATCCCCAGGATCATGTGATCATCATCTGCGGCCTTTCCAGACAACTTCCAACAACCAAGGTCAACAAAGGAAGCTGAATTCACTTAATGACTGCATGATTCCCTTAACAGCTGCAGTGATTTGTTTAAGAACTGTGGCAAAAATGTTGTAAAATTGGGATCAACTCATTTAACACCCACCTTACCCAGCAATGGAAATCGAGGACTACCTGTAGATGGTAGTTGGTCTGCTAACATTTCTCTGCTAACACTTCTTATGCTCTTGTCATATATCCAGATAAATGTAATGTTGGCCATCCCTACATTTAGTACATTTAGTAAATGCATGGCATTGCAGGAAGTCTTCAATATCATTGGCCCAGATGTGAAGCCTGGCAAGCTGGCCAGCTTTTCCTTGCCAGGAAACACTAAGATAGGAAGATGAAGTGGAAAGTATACTAAAGAAAGATTAAACTTTACAAAGATTTGACACTGAAAAGGGAGACCCTAGCTGTGTTTACATTACCCAATGCAGTTAAAATTTTGCATTCTGGGATGAAGGATTTCCTAGTAATAAAACAAGCGAGATAATTAAAAGCTTCTCTCAGTCCCGTGGATGCATCTTCTCATCTTTATGGGAATGACTCATGGCTTTGACCTCATGGGGTTGTAATTTTATGACAAAGAAAGAGGTATTTATTTTTTTTAAAAAAAAATCTTTCAAGTGAATGAGGAGTTTTGCAGAAAAAAAATCTACTACATCCAAGATCAGTGCATTTAAACCTTCTCTATCTGGAAATATCTTTTTCATACAGCACTTATAGTTAGATTCTAAATTTATCTGGTAAATTTAGAGAATATTACCCTAGATGGACTGACTGCAATGACATTACAGTTTTTAAAAAAGGAGATTTAAAAGTTTATTATTCCATGCTTCACAGAGACATCCAAGGATAGATAACGGTGAAGGAAAATTATCAACTTATAATCTATTAAATATCACCTTTAAAAAGAATAAGCAAAAATGAAGACTGGAAGAAATAATTTCACAATTTCAAACACAACTAAATGTAGAAAAAAGGCATAGCATAGTTAAATGCTGAAAAACCTAGGCCCAGTTCTGTTCTGTTGGGAGCAGGGGAGATGTTTCTTCTGTGAATGAGGAAAAATTTTGGTTGGACAAGAAAGTTTTCCTCAAAAGCTATACTTAAGGAAACTATTTTGATAATGTCTAAAGAGAGAAAAACTATTGCTAAAATATAAAAAAGGTGCAAGCATTTTTCTATCTTTTTAAAATGGTGGAAATTATAGTAGCTAGAAAACATACAGATAGACTGATTTAGTAACTGATAGGTTACTAAATAAAAATGTAAAATTGCAGGAACAAGGGGAAAATTCTCTTACAGTTGGTACTTAACTACTTTGAAATTCATCGAATTTGATACTCAGCACATTTTGATATGAAAATTTTATCCTGGTACTCCACGCACAAGCTAGAACTTCTCAGTGTCCGCTGCCTTGTGACTCACGATACTATTCCTTATGAGAAAAATATGTTTGGTACTCATTGTTTTTGGTACTCATCGCATCTCCTAGAACAGTGGTGGCGAACCTATGGCACGGGTGCCAGAGGTGGCACTTGGAGACCTTTCTGTGGGCACACATGCCGTTGCCCCAACCTTGCCTCCCCCCATGACCCCCTCCTCTCCAGCAGCCCCCATGAAGGAGAGTCACCCATGAGCGTGGCCCACGCGAAGCAGCGCAGCCAAGGACATTGCAGCCAGGCAGCATAGACAAGACTCTGCACTCACATTCCATTGTGCACAGTTGTTGCTGCAGGGTGTTGGCAGAGGGCGTGACTGCCATAGCGCTGTTAGACTGCCTGAGCGATCTGCGGCGAGCCCTGGAGGTGGTGAGTGGGTGGCCCTGCAGGTAGGCGGGGCAGGGGATGGGAGGTGGAGCGGGGACAGAGGATGGAGCGGGGGCGGGGCCAGTTTTTGGGTACTCGGTCTCTAAAAGGTTCACCATCACTGTTCTAGAACCAATTAAGGATGGGTACTGAAGTACCACTGTATTTTTCTTGAAAACAATGGGAAAAATGAAATATATGCAATCCCGTTCTTACTTTTTAAAGTACTCTTTATATAACAGTAATTCTCAATCCTAGCAACTT